TTTTGTAAATTAGAAGTTTAACTTTTAGATTGGTATTATTATTTCTTGATATTAGAGGATTAATTAATTAAATATATTTTTAAGATTTCAGTATTTCACAAGTATTATTATTATTATAAATTCTTAATCACTTACTTATCCAACTAATTTAAATTGCATATGTCATGTTTATTCTTTTTGTGTTAGTTGTAATTTACTATTTAAGTATCTAATTAAATTAATATAATATATAACGAATTTATTTGGTTGATTTATTTTAAAAAAGATTTCCTATAAAATGTGTTGTAAATATGTACCTAGTTAGTAGGTATGTAATAAAATTAAACAACGTTAATATTGTAGTTCGTAGAATAGCAAATTGTTGACAATGTGCAAAGACCTAAAGTGGAAGAGACACTCAGTGAATAATATTGAGGTTTGAGATACCTAGAGAGATTAAAAATAAGTTAACAATAGTCATAATTAAAATCATTGCAAAATAAAATTACTGTTTTAGCACGATTTAGTATGACTTATAGGCGTCAACGCTAGATGGCACTTACTGTCAGTCAGTTTATGTTAGTACATTGCATAGTCACTTGGTCAGTAAGCTTAACATACGTCGATGCGCAACCTGTCTATCTAAAACCGTGTGGTAAACGTACGTACCTACTTACAGTAAACTTGTAATAAATACTTATTACAAGTTCGGAAAAGCGCAAACATCAATCCCAAACAGTACTAGAGACCAATGCAACACACCGTGATGTCGTTGTAGCCAAACCGCATTAAAAAACACATACTTTGCAAGAACGAGAGCGCGCCAAGACGCTACACAGAGAGCGCGTCGGCAACAAAGCTTTACGACCGGCATCAGATTATGCGACTTTGTCAAAAGCTGCGGACAAAGTTCGTATAATCTATGCCGGGACTATACTTAGGATACAATCCCGAAACCAACAGTTATAGCCGCCCAAGAGTAATAAACACTACAACAGCTCATAAACCACACTAAACACGTACCGTAAAGACACGAATCCAAACGGCATAAAGTACTAGTGAACCACAGATATACTGGTCACGACATACACTCAAAACACCACATAATCCATAATACAGTTTTCTCCGTTTATGCATTAAATTAAAATCGTATCGTGCTTCTTTTCTCCCGCACTATCCCTCTCCCGATACTCGCAGTGTGAGTGGTGGTACGCCTAAAAACGTACTGTTCAAGCCACTCATACTAAAAGCGACGGAGAGGAAGAATCCTTACAACAACACCCTCTGGTAAGCATCGGTGGTGGTACGCCTAAAAACGTACTGTTCAAGCCACCGACGCCCAACAGCAGCGGCCTGCTGCTAGTTGTGTGTGCGTTATCGTTGCCGCCGCCACAACGCGCCGTCACCGCAACCGTACGCACCAGTTCGAAAGTGCCGTCGCCGTCATCACAGGACGCGCCACCTGCACCATACCACGCCACATCGCTGTGCCGCCGCCGTAGGACGAGCTGTAATAACAGCCACCACGCCGCCGCAACCCAAGTCAATCCACATACCACATTATCACTGGGAAGACGTCACTGTAGGAGAAGTACGATATACGTCGAGGACGAGCCCACGCCCGACAGTCATATCCAGGTACTATACGCCCCCCCCAAACACCACCAGCAGAGTCGGCTGTTTTGGTCAAGGCACCTACGTGAGTCATACCCCTCATTTATAATATACCCATCGAATACTTGTAGCTCCACGAGCAATTGTAAACCAAAAGAATATATTGTAAACTATTCAAAATAAATATTTAAATATTTGTGGCTCAACGAGCACTTTGTAAATGAAAAGAAAAAATTGTAAACGTACATAAATCAATTTCATTTACATTTACGTAAGAATAAAGAACCAGCATTCCAATACAAAAAACAACCTGTGTTTTGCATTCTTACAATTATTTTATATGCTACTACAAAAAAATAATAAATAAATATAATATTATATACATGTATTTACAAAATACAGAAAATTGTATTACTTACTTGGTTTATACTGTTTTTGGGTACCAAATTTAAATTGGCTTAGTTTAAATAATATCTTACTATCACGTTTACTCATTAACTTTTCCATATTGCCCAATAGCTATGAAACATTAAGGTACGTACAATACTATTTTGGATCCATGTTCTGATAAATAATAGCTTTTGTTCATTTAAAATTGCATTATTTCATTGTTGATGTGTGCACCTATATGTATCTAAATATTTTAATATTGAAAATAAAAAGAACAATTCATTTTCAACAAACTCAAAGAAAGTAAGGAAAGTTAAGAATAATTTTGGAAAACTTAAACAAATTACAAATTAAAACGGCAATCGGAAAAATTTAATATTATTCGCATGAAAGTTAAAACTGTTACGTATATAATTTAAATGTTTTTTTTTAACGAAATTGAAATATAAACATTAACAAGAAATAAACAATTTTCTTGTATCGATTATAAGGAAATTAATAACAGACATTGGCCAGCATATTATTTTTTTATGATTTATTAACTATATTATTAAAAAAAAATTGTATTTTCACTTCAAGTATAAATGATAAGGGTATAAACGTTTTCCTACATTAATTGATTTTCCATTTTTTTTGTAATTTATTTTTTGAGTTTTATCCACAATTTTACACTAACTACTTTTTATAGTTAGTTATTAGTTATTACAAATTACAATGTACTTAGTCTTAACACAAGGCATGATTGACATTTTATATTTTATGGCACATAGATACAATTTGAGCATAGACGAGTTGTCTAGTATACGATAGTCTAGTAGCCTACTAATTTATATTTTCTAGGTATTTACTACATGTACATACTATTCTATTAATATAAAAATGATAGACTCCTAATCTGTTGATTAAGTAGGATTTTCGTTACTAAACTCTAGCTGGGTGTTTAGCTGAGCAGCTTTATACTGTTGGAAAAACGTTTATCGACAGAATCAAGTAAACTACGCCGTAAAAAGTACAAGAAGCATATGATTACGAAATAAGAAAAATTGTGGAAAATTGATCTGAAAATTAACATGTATTAATATACATTGATTTTATTTAAATGATTATATTATGTTTGTAAAGTACGTATGCCTACAGCTTACTCTGTACGGCTGTAGGTACCTACCGTGACACGTACGACTCGAGTCTTTTTCCACACATTTTCAAAAAACAATGGTCATATTATGTAAGGGGTAAATTGTCACTTTGTATTGTCCATTGTTTCAAATGCATAACGCGGACACTTTGTACTGTCGGGTAAAAAGGTAGATTGCAGAACGCGGACACTTAGTACGGTAGGATAAAAATGTACATGGCAGAACGCGGAGACTTTGTACGGTCCGGTAAAACTTTACATTACAGAATGCGGGAAATTTGTATTCTTATATTCATAAGGTGTATATTGTAAATATATGAAATATAAAGACTTGTGGTTTTGATATATTTCAATATTATACTATACATGAAGTTTTTAAAGATTTTTTCAGTATTATATTTTATTTGTCATTTTGCATATTTATATTGTACACATTTTTATTTTACTTAAACATAACTTTTGATAATATAATACAATTAAGATGTATAATCAATGATTAGAAAATTTAAAAATAAAAACTAAATTGTTTTAAAATATTGTTCATTAATAATAATCAAAATGAACAATATTTTATAACAATTTAGTTTTTATTTTTAAATTTATATTTTAATAATTTATATTACATATTATACTACTAATCTTAGGTATATAGCTTATATTTATAATAATATTATATACTTTATGTGTATAATAATACAAAGCAGGGCTTGAAACCGAAAAAAATTTTTCCGGTTTCGGTTTCGGATACCGGTATTGATTTTTTCCGATTTCGGTTTCGGTTTCGGATACCGGTATTGACTTTTTTCGATTTCGGTTTCGGTTTCGGATACCGGTATCGATTTTTTCCGATTTCGGTTTCGGTTTTGGTTTCGGATACCGGTATTCATTTTTTCCGTTTCGATTTCGGTTTTTAACGGTTTTTAACGGTTTCAACCGGTATTCAAAATCAGTATCGAATATCAGTTTTAATCCCTGTAATTATAATAATTTATAATGACATAAAATACTGGCTTAGGAACCTACTCGCCAATCGCCAAACATTGCGTGGCGTATGATTTAGCGTCTGGTTGCCTGACAAGTACTATAGTATTTGCAATCTGTTGACCCGGCGATCCTTAAGATCAGATATCGCCTGGTACGAGGTCCTCGGGATTGTTGTAGAGTAAGGCAATTTATAAGATTCAAAAATAACACGAGATTTCTAACTATCAGGAGCATGTATTGTTAGGTATACCACATGAACAGTAGGTAGGTAATTCAATTATACAATAATACAATATTAAGTCAGGGGGGAAACGGGGATCACCGACTGAGCTGCCTCCCTGGCCGATGTCTTGAGCTGGTGAACTGTATGTGCGGAGCTGCTGTATCTGGAACACGAGTGCGAGCGTATGCACCGTCGTGTCGTGGAGCGAAGAGCGTTCAACCGCGCACGTGGACGCGAAGTATGGTAGAGTAGGTAAAGCTACTCGGAGCTGATTGTCATGAACTTGACGAGAGCAGACTGGACGACGACAGTCAATAAAAGAGCAATACGGTTAATCGGCCGAACAACCGCGATGTTTTAACACTAAACAGTAAACACGTTTTCCGTAACTATCCCAAACGGGAAAAGATGGCTGACGGGCGAGCGAGCAGAACAACAACGTGTAGACGGAGCGGTCGGGTACTCGTTGCAACGGAAAAACGGAGAGTGTGGCGCGTACGAACGAGCTCGCCTGCGCCGGGCGCCGGTAACAGCCTACCAGTGTTGCCAAAATTGCGGCTGCCGGCGCGCAGCGCCCATGAACATGGTTACTGCGGCGGTCGGTCGAGCGTGACCACCGACGGCGGCAATTTTGTTATCAGACGGAGCGAACATACTCCCCCTTGCAAGTTCCAGCTAACTTGGAATAAGAAGTTCGATCTGTTCTGAATGATGTTGGAGCTGGGAGCCTTGAACGGAGCAGTTGAGCAGTTGAACGGAGCAGTTGAGCGGAGCAGTTGAGCGGAGCAGTTGAGCAGTTGAACGGAGCAGTTGAGCAGTTGAACGGAGCGGTTGAGCAGTTGAACGGAGCGGTTGAGCAGTTGAACGGAGCGGTTGAGCAGTTGAACGGAGCAGTTGAGCAGTTGAGCAGCCCAGAGCGATGATCGGGTTTTCTTTACAAAGGGACAACATTTTTAACATTATTTTTTGCAACGAAATATAACAAATCTACGGCATTAACCGAGCTAGAATAACAATGTTTAACAACATAACATACAAAATTAATTATCCAAAATTTAGTTACATTATTTTCCTTTTATCATCATAAAAACATATCAATATAGTAACAACATAATATCTGAAAATAAACAAAAGTAAAAAAAACAATAAACATTGCCATACCCCACTGGATCCAGAGGTGGAGCAACCGGCCCAACATCCAGAAGCAGGCGTGATGGCTGGTAAAACCAAATAATTACAGTTTATAACACATAATGATCTCAGCCATAGCGGACGAGTATAAGGGTGCAAAGGAAACTGTTGGACGGAAATACATCTAATTAGTACCTATCCTGTCCTACAAATCCGTAGGTAACGGTACTAACTTCACAACTGGTCTAGTGAACACTCCCTGGTTGGTCCTAACCTTTGCCACCCGCACTATCTTATCTGTGCCCGGATACACCTCGATCACCCTACCTAAAGGCCACGTAAGAGGGGGGGTGTCGCTAATTTTTACTACCACCATATTACCAACTTCGACGTTGTTGCTATCTTTGGTCCACTTTCCACGAACTTGGAGAGTGTTTAGATATTCCTGGGACCAACGTCGCCAAAAGAACTGGAAAGACTGCTGGAGGAGCTTCCAGCGAGTCTGCAGTCCTGTTTGCGTACTGGTAATCACAGGTTCCGGGATCGATATCAGAGGACGACCAATCAAAAAATGACCGGGTGTTAAGCATTCCAGGTCATTCGGATCAGATGATGCTGGTACTAGAGGGCGCGAATTCAAAGCAGCCTCTACTCGACATAACACCGTGGTAAACTCTTCTAACGTCCAAACTTGGGAGTTCATGGCACGAAGAAGCAATGCCTTAGCCGACTTCACTGCAGCTTCCCAAATTCCTCCAAAATGGGGAGCACCAGGAGGGTTGAAATGCCACACGCACGCAATATGACCAGATAGTTGATCTCTATTATCCGGATGATTTACTAATTGTCGCAGCTGCCTCGCTGCACCGACAAAATTGGTGCCACAGTCTGAGTAGATCGACGTCGGTAGACCACGACGAGCCACGAATCTATCTAACGTTAATCGAAAAGCCTCGGTCGACAGGGCAGAAACTGGTTCCAAGTGCACCGCTTTGGTGGACATACAAACGAATACCGCAATGTATACCTTCACGATACGAGCTTTTCGCAGGCGGAGTTCCCTCATTTGCAAGGGACCTGCATAGTCTATACCAACTACAGAGAACGGATGAGCTTCCTGAACGCGAAACCTAGGCAGATCAGCCATCATAGGTTGAGGGTTGATGGGCTTGATCCTTGCGCATCTCCGAATTGAACAGTTCTTCACACAATCCGTCTTCGCTGAACTGAGGCGGAGCAGCTTCAGGTTCTTCCACCTTCCAAAACCTTTCTATGATGGATTCCATGGACGATACTAGCGACACCAACATAGCTTGTGCACCAATATCTGGGTGCTCCTGAACGGGACCAATTAGCACCCAACCAAATACTGAGCTGTAAACGGAAGGGAAACCTGGACCCAGCGAGCTGCACTTGTTCTTCCATACTTGGGGAAATATATCCGCGCCAATGAGCATCTCAACTGGAGCTGGCTCATCGAAGCTTGGGTCGGCCAACATCAGATGGCTGCATTTGGCTCGTACCTGAACTGGCAGTTGTCGAGCTGGCATATCTGACGTGATGGTAGAGAGTACCCAAGGCTTGACCTGGATCGCTGGCGTTGGCTTATCCCTTGGCTGGATCGTCAGCTGAACAATACCCTGTACATCCGGAACCTTCTGGCCGGAAAGACCAGTCACAGGTACTGTCCATCGCGAGGGCTGTAATCCCAAGCGGTTACAGCAAGCCGATGTGATTGCACTGATCTGCGATGCCGAATCGATCAGAGCGCGCACGGTCTGGCAACTGCCAATTGTATCTCGTACATGTACCAAAGCGGTCCCGAGCAAGACCGTTGGAGCTTGTTGGCGGCCTAACATGGCAGCCGGAGGAGCGGGTTTCGACGGTTCCTGATCTCGATGTAGTAGCGCATGATGGCGCCTCTTGCATATGGAGCACGAAGAGGAACACTTAAACGACATGTGCCCGTGATTCAAACAGACCATGCAAAGGCGATGCGTGCACACCACCTTGTAGCGTTCATCGACCGAGCAAGCCTTAAATTTCGCGCAGTCAGCTAGCTGGTGAGCACCGGAACAAACGTAACATGACGCCGAAGTAGGTTTGGTCGAGGAATGTTTGGACGTCGAAGGTTTGGGCGTCGATACTAATGCGGTCTTCGGTTCCCGACGGAAACCAGTTTTCTTGATATTGGCCGACTTCGAGGAGGAGCTTCCTGCCGATTGTACACCTGCATTTTCAAGAACCTGGATTCTCGTTTTAACGAACTTGATCACGCTCTGTATTGACGGATATTCTTCATTGTTTTCAGCCTCGAAAAGACGTCTCGAGAATGTAGGTAGACACCTAGCAGCCAATGAAAATAACAGAAACGACGCTAGATCCGGGATCTGGAGCGACTCCAGGATCGTGATGTTTTCGTCAAAGACCGACATAAAGGTCTGCAGAACTGCAAGATTTTCAGAATTCGAGGCGGGAGCGGATATTAACTTATCGATTATTGACGATGCTAACCTGCGCGGTTTATCGTAGCGTTCGATCAATGCGTCCCAGGCAAGAGTAAAAGACTCATTTGAAATCGAAAATCCCTTGATGACTTCTTGCGGATCAGCATGCAGACACCCCACCAGGTAATAGAACTTGGTAACATTCGGGATCTTATCGTTATTAGCCACCAAATTGACGAACATGTCCCTAAAGGCTGGCCAGTTGTGGCATTCACCATCAAAAGTAGGCAGAGGGATTTCAGGCAACCTCATTGGTGCCACAGCCAACGGAGGATAGGGAACTGAGCAATCCTTGGACGACCCCCCAGCAGAAGAACTTGCTTGGTCAATTATACCCTCATACGACACTTGTTGAACCGTACCGACATTAAAAGCTGGAGTTGGTTGAGATGCCTTGTATAAGGCCTTAGCTTCTACCACCAAAGCACGGGTCTCAGTTTCTAAGTTCACAGAAAACTCCCCCAACAAATCCGATTCGGTAAGTATGTCTAGAAGATTATTGTTCTCAATAACAAAGCTGGCCCACAAGCTATCAATATCGACAATAGCCACAGCTAGTTGAGATCTACTAGCTTCATCAGTGGCTGAGCTTGTGGCCAATAAGTGTATCTGGCGAATTCGAGCGATGACTTGATCCCTACGCAGGATAGCACGCTCCTTCGCACGAGCATCACGTTCCCCAGCCATTATATTGACTGCACCAAGAAGTAACAAAGCCAGAGACTAACAATATTGAACTAGAGCGAGAACAAATTGCTAGTTGAAGTCAATATCACTTCAAGGATATGATCAAAAAGTAAGCACAAACAAAAGATTACTAATACTGGTATCACACAGTACAAACGTTGATCAACGATGCCGAAAAATCAATGAACAAATAAATGACTACCGAATGAGCACTATAAAAAGGCCATGAACGAGTCAATTAATAAAATAGAAACAGTTGACTATGATGTAGGCAATAACTAAGCAAGCGGCAAAATAATCATTAGCCCACAATCAATATCATAACTATTAACAGTTACAACTAGTCTAAACAACAGGGGAGCACCTAATTAACTTAAACTTGAGTAGAACTCAGGTGTATCCAGGCGACGCAGTACTAAATATAATATTAAAATTAATTATACTAACTATGAACAAGTTAGACAACCAAATCTGCACTATAAAACCCTCAATTGAGCAACCTAGAGTGGATAATATAAAACAAATAATCAAATAATAATATATTGTGTGATAGTACAATACCTGATCCTTGGCACGACCCACGACGCACACCTAAATCTTAAACTATGTAATAATGCAATTTAGAGCTACTGCACTAAGGGTGAGTGATAAGCCCTGTTAAAACTCAGATGTCAATAGCATGACAACAAAATATCAATAATAATCCACCCAATTAAATAGTATAACCAATGAGGTAGGTGCTAACTAGACCAGCAACTAGTGAACAACCTATACTAGTTAATACCCATACATAATACAATAAATAAAACAATAAATAATTTAACCCAGAGAGCACCGTCTAATAAATATGTAATATTTAAAATAAATTCAATTGATTAACGTTACTACAGTAGTAAACGCTTGAGCACGAATACAGTAAATAAAACTCAACACTAAATAATAAATCTGACTTATATTAATAGCAATAAATAAAACAATTAATTAATGACTGGACAGTCGGTTGAGTTAATTACTGTCTTCTTACTGAACAGTACCTACTATCGATAGGAGTGAGGAAAAGGATAAATAAATGTACACACCTTATACTCATAAGCCAAAACTAAAAACAAAATGCATTACTCACGCGAATCCAGAGTACCAGATGTTGATGGACCAACCAACCACGCCCTGCTACCAAAATGTTGACCCGGCGATCCTTAAGATCAGATATCGCCTGGTACGAGGTCCTCGGGATTGTTGTAGAGTAAGGCAATTTATAAGATTCAAAAATAACACGAGATTTCTAACTATCAGGAGCATGTATTGTTAGGTATACCACATGAACAGTAGGTAGGTAATTCAATTATACAATAATACAATATTAAGTCAGGGGGGAAACGGGGATCACCGACTGAGCTGCCTCCCTGGCCGATGTCTTGAGCTGGTGAACTGTATGTGCGGAGCTGCTGTATCTGGAACACGAGTGCGAGCGTATGCACCGTCGTGTCGTGGAGCGAAGAGCGTTCAACCGCGCACGTGGACGCGAAGTATGGTAGAGTAGGTAAAGCTACTCGGAGCTGATTGTCATGAACTTGACGAGAGCAGACTGGACGACGACAGTCAATAAAAGAGCAATACGGTTAATCG